CTGGTTTTCTTTTAAACGTATGGACAAATGGAATTGCATTCTCACTAAAGCTCATAGTAGTCAAGGGCTCCCTTGCTCTCGTCTGGCTGCCTGGTACTGGGTGAATGGGCTTGCTTCTGTTAGAGTGACTCTGCCAGGACCTCTGCCACTTAGAGGGCACTGTCCAACCTGGGAACCACTGACTATACAGCCGTCCAGCATCCACATCATGATGTGTTATCCATATAAATAGCATATTGTCTTTGAAACATGGGATGAAAAGAAGATGAAAGAATAAATCATACCTCATGAGTGAGTTTTTCCTTGATTACTTGTCTTGGAAACATTGGTTTAAAGAATTATAGTAAATAAATTATTTTCCTTTGCTTTTACTTTGTAAAATGTGATCGATCAGTGGAAGAGCTTCAATTTACACACATGGCTTACATCTGGGACTCACATGGTAATTGTTTTCCATAACATTAGTCTAGAGTCTCTACTATGTCTTACTCATTACTCAACCCACCAATTTAGTTTTATATGCAGAATGATCCAGGTACTCTAAAACATACTTTCTTCGTAAGACCAGTATGTTTTATAGTACCTGGATCATTCTATCACATGACTGCTGACTAAAGATCATCTAATATATAATGGAGAGGAAGAATTTAAACAGTAATTGAAGCAAGAATGATATGCGATTAAAGGTTAGAAGTAAAACGTTATGGAATCTCAAAAGAGAACACTCTTTGTTTCTTAAATACTGAAACTTAGGGGGAATTTTAAAGCACACCGGTTAGAAGGCCCCATGGGTGTGAGAGCTCTGGGAAAAGAAACAATACATTTGCGGAAGTGAATGTTCCAGCCTTCAGGAAGGTAGGAATGGGCTGCCAGCCGGGGAGGGTGACAAATGTAGGTTCCATGACGGTAGATGGGGGTGCAGAAGAGACACTCACACATTGTTTTAAGTAACACAGAACACAGACAAAATGAGTAGGAGATGAACAAGCAGACAGCAGGACTCATGTTAAAGAGACCCTACAGACATGAGACAGCCATGGACATCTTTAAGCAAAGGAACTGACCATTTGAACAGAGGCTAAGGAAGATACTCTGTGGGGGTATACATAAAACTTCATGGAGGGTGATAGTGTGTGCCATACTTTCCTAAACCCACTCAATGGCAAACTCTGTCCCAAGACTTAAAAACCAAACAAGAATAAGTCTCTTTCTCAATAACTCTGACCACGTGGCGTGAAGCAGCAGGTGAGACCAGTGAAGGTAATGAAAGGCACTATTTGTTTATTTTGTTTTGAATGAGTTGAAGTAGGTCTGGCCTTGGGAAGGAAGAGGAGTTCTGAAAGTAAGAACAGGGATAGTTGGTGGATTGAACCACATGCCCACTCTTTGTCCTATATCACATGTTTTTGGCCTGGTTTGACTTTATTATTCTCAATTCATTCATCCGGAATTACTTTCTATCATCTTCTTTGTACTTAGCTCACACTTGGAAATCAAATGACCTGCTGTCTTACCATCATCTGTTTCAGAACCCAGGGGTGGAATTCACTTTGAGAGACCTTGGTGTTCTTTCTCCTGTTTTGTTCTGTTCTGAGCAATCACATACAGAATTAATTAACGTTCACATACTTTGGTTCGTTTTCATTAAGTATCTTAGTTTAAGAGGCTATAATGCTTGGTAAGAAATGTACTCATTATCTTGCCCATGTAATTGTAACCCCTCTGTACAGTATTTTCACAATAAAAAAAACCAAAGGAATACTACATCATAGTTTATCAAATGGGCAAATATAGCTCTAGATTCTATCAATCGAATCTTATAAGAATTGTCTCCAATGGCTTAGTGTGGCCAGCTATTGGTCTGACATTTGGGATTAGTAGAATGAGACCCAAATATAGACCCTAGAGACAGTCAGATGAGCCATATTTAGCAATCCAGGTGAGGTCTCATTCTCTCCAGTGCTCAGAGTAGGTTCTGCCATGCTTGCCTCTCACTTCTACAGTCTGGTTGCTTCTATGCTGCTTTCTTTTCTATTCTACTCAGAACATGTGAGCAAACCTCTTAAAAGTCCTTCCTATCCTCCCACTCCTTCCTTTCTTCTTGGGTAAAGTTCTATGTCCTCAATGTTGACCCAGGAGGTCCCATATGATCTACTCATATTTGGTTTCTTTGCTGTCCTTACAATATTATAAACACACACACACAGACACAGACACATACACACACCTTAGACCCTTTTCTTATCCTCCTCCTGACCCTGCATGGTTTGCTTTGTCACTTTAGCAGATCTTGGCTGAAACATCATTTTATCACTAAGTTCATCTGACCATGTGGCCTTCCTTAACTCCTCCTGCTCAGTTCTACTTTTCCTAAAATATTTTATTTTAAAGATGGATTTATTGTCAATAAATTAGTTTATAATCTGCCTCCCTCAACCATTGGGAGCTGCAAAGAAGAGGATCTGTATGGCTCGCTCCTGTAACCCCAGTACTTAGGATGCTGCTTGGTATGTAGACAGTCTCAGTACACTCTTTTGGAATGAATGAAATGAAAGGTCAGTTAACATGCACAGGATTTTAGGAGACCAATAAAGAAGGTACATGGCATATCCTAGAAGAGACAAAAGTGATCAGAAAAGATTTCATTAAGGGAGTAATCTTTAGATTGAGCCTTCATTCAGTTTTTAAATGCAGCTATTCATTCAATAAATATAAATATTTTTGGAGTATGATATATTTTTACAGGAGTTTTCCTATGCATCAGGTACCATGTTAGCACCAAGATTGTAGCATTAATGAGGACAAATGAATATTTGTACTTATGAAACTTGTAATCTACTGGGAGAAATACAATAAAGGAGCCAATAAACAGGCAAACAAGAAAATCATCTGCTATTGACACATGTTATGTAAGGAACTCAAATAGCCTGGCAGGTTATAAAGGAAGCATCTCTAGGGTTGCTAGAGGAGGCCTAAAGGCCTAGATCACAGCTAGAGCAAAATTCTTACAGTGGAAGGCTTGGAGAACCCAAGAGCTAAAAGCAGCACTTACATGAATATGCAGGACATTGGGCAAGCAAGCAGGGACCAATGAGAAATCAGATGGAAAATTCTTAAGAATGAATGCCATCCAAGGGGTGAACTAGGGATAAACCTGAGAGAAAGCACTGCAGGTGGGGAGAAGAGCATAAGCAAAGGTACAGAGAGGCAAAAAGAACGCAAAATCGATTGGCATGACTCAGGCTCCGGATATGTATTCTTTCCTGGGATCAATGCACAAGCAAAGACAAAATCTGGAATATTGTGAGTTTTCTTAAAGTGTCTAGCACTATATTTGGTGATGGTTGAAGAAAGAGAACAGTCTTCTAGAAAACATACCTTCCTGGAGAAGATCTATAAATGACACCTCACAAAACTATACTAGAAGTACATTCTTAGAAGATTTGGATATTGTTTGAATTCCTGTTAGGCATACAGCCGGGAAGCAAACACAGCCATGCATATTTACCTTTACTTTAAATACCATTGCCAACACAGAAGCTGCTGCCATCCCTGGCTTAGACCTTGAAATATAGGATGGGTAGGTAAAGTTGTTCCAGGACTCAAGTCCACATCTGGTCCACAGTTGTATTCACCTACCCAGAATGCTCCTTGCCATCAGCATATTCTATTGGCCTCACCTTCTGTGGTTTTCCTTTGGTTATCTTGGTCTTTTCCCATGTTTACTTCTAGAAAATGTGCCTTTCTTTTCTTTTTTCTATTTCAGCTAATCCCAATTACCTCCACAATACCGTGTTTCTTGGAGACCTCGCTGTAGCTTAACAACTTCCTCAGTCTGCTGACAGAAATGATGCAAAACACACTCAAAAGACGGGATTAATATGCTTGAACATATTTTTCCCACTATGGTAACTGAGTCCCTATGGAGTTTTGAAGGCTTTGGAAACATTGACAGATTAGATTTATTTTTTTAACAATTGGGATCCTCTTATCAGTAGTACCAGATCCCTCAGAGAACTCATTGCTAAATTCAGGACAAGGAATTTCATTTAGATTCCCAATTTATCAAGTAAATGGTGACTTAGGAGAAAGTATTCAATGTGGGGGTCACAACAGCCCATGTGCCTCGACATGGAAGTCATTTAGAGGCAAATACTTTCTACTTTGTATTAGAAGGCTTCATGGGGTATACTAAGATAAAATAGCCAGGAAGCAAATATATAGGGGAATTTTCTTCTACTGGCAATAGCTCATTGTACACTCTTATACCTCAAAACTTTTATTACCTATTTATTATTTTCCAGGGTAAACAAGGCTGAAAAGTTCTGAATAAATAATATTATCTGTTGCAGGAGCCATTTACTTTGTTACAAGTTTTAGATGTCTAAATCACATCCAGTGTTTTTAGTACTTTTCTAACAGGTGGCATAATCAATAGTGTATAAAAATGCCAGGGTTCATGAATTTCAGTAGTTATGTGCAGAGTTACTGTCTTTGAAGGACATACACACGTTTTTGGTAAATGTTAAGGGCCTGAATGTTTTCACCTATCAAAATTTCTACAATATGAATTAAAACTAAAAGGTAGAGAGAAGGCATGTTGGCTAGTCTGTTGAAAGGAAGTATTTTGAGAAAGTTGGCTCTAATTAGAGATACAAAACTTTTTAGGAACCATAATTTAAGCTTCAAGGCAGATAGATGCTCAGTAGCCTTCACCTTTTGGTTAGAGTAGTAATGTTGAATTAAACAAATAAATTTGGGTTGAGGAAAAAGATGGGCCAATACCAGGTGGGATCCAAGAAGCACAGGACCAAAATATATAAGACATTAAAACTGATTAAATATTTGATTTCCACTTCTGAAGTTTCTTTTTCTCACACTGAAAGAAATGAAGTTTTTCAGAGCTTAAGCTTTTGTCTTTGGTTATAACATCCAAATTGTGAAAACAAACCCACATAAAACATTCAGCTGACATAATTGAGAATTAGTATTAGAGTTACCTGAAACTCCAATCCATAGTTCTCCCGGCAGAACTCTCTTAGTTTAGGATACACATTTTCTCTTAGTGCCTGCCTTTCTGCTCCTGTATCTGCAGTAGAAAAACAAGCAAAAAGGAAGTGAGTATGTACACATACATACCTTTTATTGGGGGGGAGGAAGGTTTATATATTATCATTAATGTAACCAAGTTGAGGTACAAACTTGTGAAATTCTGAGGTATTTGTCTGTTCAGAGATCCATTTGGTGGACATGCACAAAAATCCAAGGATGGAAGGGAATCCAATTGCTCAGCTCTGTGTGGTCAGCAGGGTTGAGAATACACACACACACACACACACACACACACACACACACACACACACACAAATTAGGTGAATTTGTTATCTCACAAAAGGTATCATTGGCTAAATGTCTCTCAATCCCAGATACCACTATGAAACATCTGCATACTACATTGATAGCAAGGATAGCAATTCAAAACACTTTTCTTGTTATTCTCTAGCACGTCTGTTCATGAAAACACAGCCTCTTGCAGTGTTGACCTATTCTATTTTCCTACTGCTCTCAAGCCTATTATGAGAAGCAAATAACCAATCACAAGAGTCTGAGGTACAGTTGCGGCCTGGCAGAGTAGCAGGAACCAGTGTTTATAGAGAAACAGGAGAGTCATTCAGATTTGTAACCTAAACAAATAAGGACTTTCCCACCTTAGATCTAATGGTCCCATGGTATCACAGCAGTACCAGAGGCAGCATCTTAAGCTTTTATAAATGTATATAATCTTGGTATCAGACATCCATCTTCTCTTGCTCCATGTAAAAAGCTTAAAACATTAACTTTAAAAATAAAACGGATCATGGTCAAACCATCTTTCAAAAGTTTTAGCATATTTTTAAAGTCCTAAACCAAAAAAGGTCATTAGAAAATATTACCATATGGGGAAGTTGGGAATATATCAGACAGGGATTAGTATTATGAAATTCTAAAACATAGTGTCTATCTATGAAGTAATTATGTCATGGCAAAAGGAACAGAAATTTCTTGTCTATAAAAATAGTGTTGTTATGGTTCTATGAAGACCTAGATTACAATAGTGAGAAGGAAAGAGAACTATAGTACTGTCTTCACATTCACTGGTTGTGGGCTAAGCACTTTTATGTGTATTTTCTTAGGTAATGACAGCCTATGAAATAGGTAAAATTACCGTGTTTTTATGGGAGGAAAGCGAAGGCAGAATCATTAGTAAATGTGTCTAGGCCATACGGCAATAGACTTGGAGAACCAGGACGGAATCCAGGAAGCTATGACATGGGATATGCAACTATGAACATAAACAGCTTTTGAAACGTGAGTTCAGTTACTACATGAGATGGTTAGGGGATATAGAAATCCCGAGTGTGTGAAATTTAAAAAAAATCTAAGTTAGGGTTGGGGTGTGTAGTTCAGTGGTAGAGTACTTGCTTAGCATTCAGGAGGCCATGGATTCCATCTCTAGCATCACAAAATAACATAAAAATGAGCTATCCTTAACAGATGCTTTCCTACCATATACCATTTCTATTATATACTCCTTACTATTAGTTATATAGAGGGGGATTGTTTTGTTCATATCCACATGCTTACATTGTTTTCCAGTCAATCTCACCCTCTCTATTACATTCCTCGCTCTCTCCTCTTATCATGAGCTTTCTTGTTTCATTTTCATAGTTGCAAATAATCAATTTCATCGCTATTTAACCTCCTTTCTCTCTCCATCAGCACACCTTCTTCCTGCTAGTCCCTACCCACCTACAAGAATTTCTCTCTTGCCATCTTTTATTGGTTAATACATTTCAATGTGATTTTCTATGCTGCCCTTGTATAGACTTGCAATGTGTTACAAAGGTATTCACCTTTTCCTTTTTCATTATATTCTCTTCTTTTCTTTCTGAATGGTCTCTTGTACTTGATTTACATTCAATGTTTAACCATGTAAACAATTATGTACATATATGTATAAGTATGTTCATAAATATATATGTCTTTTAGGTCTAGTTTACACATATGAGTAAAAACATAAAATATTTTGGCTTTTGAGTTTGTTTTGTTTTTGATCAATATAATGTCATTTAGTTACATCCCTTTCCCTGAAAATGATATCTCAATTTTTGTTATGGCCATGTAATATTCCATAGTATACATACATCACAGCTCTTTTGAAGTCCATTCTTGTTGGGCATTTTGGTTTATTCCATTATTTAGCTACTGCGGGCAGTGTTACAGTAAACATGGATATGCCAAGTCTCTCCTTTGGCGATGTGCCCAAAAGTGGTACGATGGAGTCATAAGGAAGATTTACTTCTAATAATCATTTTCGTCTTTGAGGAGCCTCCATGCTGGTTTCCACAGAGGTAGCACTAGTTTATATTCCAGCAGTGGAATCCTGAATCCTCTCCAGCATTTGCTGTTTGTTTTCTTTAAAAAATTTTTTATTGTAAAAATAGTGTACAGAGGGGTTACAGTTACATGAGAATGGTAATGACTGCATTTCCTATGCTGTTACCTCCTCTTTTGTTTATCCCCTGCCATCCCTTACCTCCCCACCTCTCCAACTCCCTCCCCCCCACCAACTTGTAAAGTTCGTTTTCAGCATAGTGTGTTGTACATCTCATTGTTCCAGTGGATCAACCTGTATACCTTCCTCCCCTCCCCCAAATTAGAAAAATACAAGATGCAAGGCACCAGAATCAGATACAGTGACAACAGGGATTATACTGTGGGGGGAGCATATACAAAAGAAGCAGAAAAATCACATAGTACATTGGTAAAGACATTAAAAACAATAGCAATATGGGCTGGGATGGTGGCTCAGTAGTAGAGTGCTTGCCTTGCATGCATGAGGCCCTGGGTTCATTTCCTCAGCACCACATAAGCAGAAAAAGACGAAAGTGGTGCTGTGGCTCAAGTGGTAGAGTGCTAGTCTTGAGCTGAAGAGCTGCAGGATAGCACCAGTGCCAAGGCCCAGAATTCAGGCCCCAAAACTGATAAAAAAAACCCAAACCCAAAAAACAATAGCAAGAAACAATTGTGTCCCTATCTTGGGGCCCCTTGGCACAGGTCGAAATTTTCTCAATGAAGACTCAGAAACACAACAAATCAAAGACAGGTTGGACAAATGGGATCGAATGAAGCTGCAGAGCTTCTGCATGGCAAAGGACATAGCTAGCAAGATCAACAGAAAGCCCATGGATTGGGAGAACATCGTCACTAACCATACAACAGATAAGGAAGGGTCTCCTATCTAAAATATACGTGGAGCTCAAAAAATTCAATCTCCCAACAAAAAGAAACAACCATCCCATCAACAACTTGGCTAAAGACTTAAAGAGAAACTTCTCTGAAGAGGAAATAAGAATGGCCCAATAGACACCTGAAGAAATGCTCAACTTCTCTTAAAAAGAAATGCAAATCAAAACAACATTGCTTGTTTTCTTTATGGCTGTAGTTCTGATTGGGAGAGGGTGAATCCTAGTGTGGTTTTGATTGGCTTCATATAGCTACTGACCATTTGTATTTCTTTTTGCAAGAACTACATGTTCAGTTTGATTGCCCACTTGCTGCTCAGATTATTTGCTGTCTTGCTATTTAATTTCTTTTATATATTCTTTATTTTTATTTATTTTTTATTTGAAAATGCTAAAAACAGAGGGGTTGCAGTTACATAAGTCAGGTAATGAGTACATTTCCTTTAGGTCAATGTTACCCTTTCCATTGCTGGCTCCCAGTTTTTCCCTCCCATCTCATCCACAAGTTGTACAGTTAATTTTCAACATAGTGTCCAGTGAGTACCATCACTGCATTTGTTTACCCTTTGTATATTATATTTTTTAATCAGCCAACCCATCAAAAATTCCCTCATTCTTATCTCTTAAAGAATAAGTTATTCTACTTCTCCCACCTCTGCAAGTAGGTGCAAGCTACACCCTCTGTCATCTGAAATCGATTTCTTTTTTAAAAGACTTTCCTCCTTCAATCCATATGACAGAGTTGTCAGACTACTCTTTAAAAAAAAATAACCAGATTGTATCACTGCCTTGTTTCAAACCCTTTAGCAGCTCTTTGTGCAACTTGGAACAAAATCCACACTCCTTTAGTTAAATGTTGTCTCTCCCTAAGCCTGTCTCCTACCACTTTCCCGGCTCCTGACACCATACTGGCACTGGCCTACATTTTCTTTATTGGTCCCTGGATTACTCTCCTTTTCTGGGCCTTCATTCTTGCTGTGTCTCCTTCTTGGAATGCTTGCTCATCCAATTCTTTCTATCTCAGAGCAGATCCAATGCTACCTACTCAAAGAGATTTTCTCATACCTCTTACCCTATAGGAGATACCAAGCCACCTTCCAGTACTTTGCTTGGGATCTCTTCACATGGCTCTTTCTCTTTTTTTTTTGTCGGTTGTAGGGCTTGAACTCTGGGCTTGGGTGCTGTCCCTGCACTCTTCAGCTCAAGTCTAGCGCTCTACTGCTTGAACCACAGCATGACTTCTGGTTTTCTGGTGGGTAACTGGAGATAAGAGTCTCACGGACTTTTCTGCCTGGGCTGGCTTTGAACCGCGATCCTCAGATCTCAACCTCCTCAGAAGTTAGGATTACAGGCGTGAGCCACTAGCACCTGGCTAACACATGGCTCTTTTTTTTTTTATTGTTATTTGTTTACCATCCATCTCATGTGAGCTCAGAGGAACTGGGGACTTTCTTTTGCCTTATTCTCTGCTTCTACCCCAGTGATTCAGGTCATGCTCATTTAATGAGTAGGTGATGAAAAATAAAAAAACCCTACATATCACCAGTGACAAAAATGAGCTGATAGGTACTGGCCTCCATGCTTACCTTCAGAACCAGCGAGGCTTCTCACATTACAACTCATCCCTGCACAGTTAAATGAAAGCAACATAATGTGAAACTCTAGAAGATTAAAGGATTGGGTTTAGAAATTTGGTGTCATGAGGTAAATGAATAAAATACTGATGTATTTTTGAGTGTCTGTGTTTCTGGCAGAATATAATACATTTTTTTACCAAGTTATTTTGAATCTTTCTAAATCCTTC